TCGGTAATTGCATTATTTAAAGTGTAATTACCACTTTAGTAAATGCCGGTATATAAAAGTTTTACGTATAATTAATAATTTGATCAAATGTACTGCTTATATCGTGTTCGGATCCGGTTTATAGAATTTATTATAGTTGTTCGATATATGCAGTGTAATTATTTATAAATAAAATGTTCTTAAGCTTTTTGTTCGGAATAACCAGTGGTCGGTATATATAGGTTCGGTTTAGAGAGAGCCGACTGTATATATATAAATTATCTTCTGTAAATTTATTATCCAAATATATGCCTACCCCCACGTAATTCAAAGTTCTTTTTCTTATGCAGAATTTGATTAGCGCCTCAGCTTGTTTCTTATGTCAAGATATTGAAATGTTGTCAGCAATATTGTAGAACTTGTTCACTTCTGGTGTGATGTTATCAGTACACCAAAAACACCGTAAAATGAGAAATTGAAGTTTTTGTAAATTGACAATAGTATGTGTTGTGAGGAAAATTCGATTTTCAAATTTCTAAATATGTAATGTTTGCAAAAGGACTTAAAGTGTTTTTAGTAATAACGATTGTTCTAAAATCATGTCTTCAGATTCAAGTTTGTCATTGTAGTGATGCGCATCAATCGAGCAATCAATTATTTCTAAAGTGCTGATTTTATAATCAGATAATGTTAACAGTTTTGCATGCAATGCGTGATACGAAGAATTTCCAAATTTTTACAATTCGAACTCTTCATTACAATCACAAAAGTTATAAGTTCCCGATTAAGGTGAATTGCATAAGATGTTCTTGTGAGTTAATAATGCGTCCAAGTACACGATATATTTGTGGATCACAATGAGTATAAAATTCGTCAATTTTCAAACCATCAATTTTCATAGAGTTTTTTGATAAGATTTTTAATAATGCAATAGCATCATCTTCAATGGGGTATTCGGAGTCTGGTATTGTAACCAAATATAATCTTGAAGTTTGAAAGAAAAATTGCGCCTTTTGTCCTTAAGAAACTTTCATAATTAAATAGAGTTTTGGAAAATTCTAGATTGATCCTATGGTAAGTGCGCATGAGTGTAAGGAATAAAATTCATTCTGGTGCTTATAAATAGAGAAATTTCCCATTTCCCATAATAAAGGAAACGAAGTGTAACTCCAACCGCTGCTCGGGTTTAATTTCAATGCATTGGTCAAAAACATTAAAATAATTTAATTCCGATCCAGATAAAACGGCACCACTCTCAATAAATATTCTAAGCAATAAATTGACTTTATGATTTTCTAACTCAATCGTATCTTCCTGCTGGTTAGGAAGTTTTAAGTAGATCCATTTTCTAACTCTAATACTTAGGCGATATAAATAAGAGACTTTAAAAATCGGTTCACAAGAATAACGGTTGAGTTTTTATAACGAGCAAGACTTTTGTT